TTGGGGGAAAAGGAAAAAAAAATGCACTGTGTCTACTTTGACCCCTTCAAACGATGCTTCGGGGAAAGTGTAGGTGCCGAATCTGCTCTTGGGGTTATTGCTCGTTCCCCAGTGGCCAGGGATCATGTTACTAAATAACCTCCAGACACCCTTAGGGATTTATGGACCCAGTGGGTTAGAAGTACATTTTGGAACAGGGTTAGCTTTGATGGGGCAAGTATTGTAAACGGGTGGAAGTGAGAGTGGGCCTGAACGTATATGTACCTGCATATGTTATGCATGTGTACCTATGCTCGCCTGTGAACATGCAAGTGTGCCTCTGCCTGTGTAACAGGTCAGATCTCCATGTGAGCTAACCAGTTAATCAAAATCTAATCTTAGCCAGCTGCATGTCCTTGGCCCCTTCAGCCCTATCTGCTCCTTTCTTCTCCAGCTGAGCCTGAAATTATTAAAGCTACAAATTACCAAGACCCAGAGGTTCTTCCACCAGTGGTGATAGCAAGCAGATGGTAGTAAGACTAGGAGATACCTAGCCCTCCTCCCCAACCTCAACCCCTTATATAAAGTATCATTTGCATTTCATGAGGCTTAATTGTGTCTGTTGCCCTCCTCCCCACCGGCTCTGCGATTTTGTGCCTGTCACTGTGCACCTCTGAAACCATGAAAGAGCTGTGATAGATTAAGGTGGACCTTCTGTTTGCATCCCCCTCATTTTGTTCCAGAAATTAGAAAACATTTTTCCTGGTATTCTTAGAGTAGGCAAAAAGAGGGTGCAGGAGGTGATAGTGACATCGGGTGGGATAGGACACGACAGGGGGAGTTATTAAGGCATTAACAGGAAAAGTGATTAATTTAAAAGCTCGTCCTTGACCCGTCACGGGGTCGAGGATAAGCAATGATGTGTAGAACCCCCCAGACAACTATAAAGCATGGAGCTAATAATGCATATCAGTCAATACTTGATAGACACAACACGCTGATATTGTGTTTTGTCTTCTTTTAAGTCCACTTTATGCTGTACTAGTGGATAATTGAACTCTGTGCAGAAATACTGCCTGACTAAAGAGTCCCTGAAGGACAGGGGTTTAAGATGATCATTTAACTGCCAAAAACAGATGGTGGTTAAACCAACTGGCCAGCTATGACTGAGAGTTGATCTGTTATCATCACCACAGTTAATGTGACAGAGACTAGACTATTCTTTCCAGACTGGTATTGGTTCAGGGTGACATGACAAATATGTCTGGTGTTTGGTTTGTGTCTGGCCTGTGCCGCCACGTATTTGGAGCCTTTGCTTGCATTGTGGATGCATTAGTATGACTGCTCATAATGCGTGTGAACTTAGGCAGAGGTTCATTCAGTAAAGATGCTTCAAGAGTTTAAAGAGGGGTTGAAGGAGCTTATGGATAGAAACCAAACTGGATGGACTCAGCTCTGTCAAAGTGAGAGCCCTGCATTGCACTTATTTTTCTCATTTAGCTTTCTACATTTATCTCACTAATATACTGTAAGTTTCAAATAGATCTTTTACAATTTGTTGAAAATGGTTGTAAAGACACAGCTTAACCACATTTGCCTCAAGGCAGTGAAAGTAAGCTTGACATGCAGATAGGTAACCAATTACATGACAATTCAGAAGAAATGAATGGATAAACAGAATGAATGCACAAGCTTCCATGAGGGATCATTAAATGCTTTTCTTGTCACCCATCTTTATCTCACTCATTGCAAACTAACCTGTTCTGAACACACACCCCCGGTGCTCTGCTCGAGCTGCTCAGTGGCTGGCAGATAAATCTCGACTTTTGTTGTGTGTAAGCGAAGAGCACTGCTAAATCTGCATTCACTTGGATGCAACTTATAGATCAAGGTTAAAAACACCAAAATGTCTTTGTAATGACAGTTTGGCCCAACCGTACACCTCACTCCATAATCTTTTTGTCAAGTTTTGTCTGAATTTATCACCTAATTTATCTAAAGTGGGATAATAATTTGTCTTGGGCCTTTACCTCTAATGATGTGTTGTGCCATAAAAGCCTTCATAATGGTTCTGGAGGAGGAGGAGGAGCATTCATTAGATTGACTGAAGCGTAATAAAGAGGAGAAATCACCTCTCACTCTCTCTCTCTCTCTCTTTCTCTCTCATACATGCATGCTAATGGCATGCACCCTCACAAAGAAGCTGAGCTCCAGACAAAGCTTAATGATCGTATATAGAGTTAATGAGGTTTAACACACCCCAGAAAGAAAAATATGATCTGCTAAACCCAAGGGAGACATTGAGTCTTTCCACTCCTCAATATCATGGTAGATAGACTTAACTGCAGTGCTCATATCTTACCACAGAGAGGCAGAGTTTGATAATCCTGAGTGATCTGTACTTTATTGGCGCTGTTACTGTACTCATCCACCAGGTGGCAGTATTGCACAGGACATGGAAAATTGCCTATCAAGTGTATAAAGATAATTTGCATGGTAATATAAAAAACTGCGACATCAGGGAAAAAAATATATGTAATTCAAGATACAGACTTTTCTAGACACCGAAAAACTTCAACAGAGACAAAGATGCAGAGCAGAATGCAGTGTCCCCGTTTCACCCAGTGCTGATATGTCGGAGGGGGAGGCAGTGGGCGGCTGTGACCTCTCAGGCCTGTGACAAGAATCCTTCTTCTGAGAGTACTCTTTCATTGCTGGAGATTTAGATACACATCATCAGCTGAGTGCAGAGGTGTTGGTTATGGACCGAATGTTGTCTTTAAAAGGAATAGATACCACCACAAACCATGAGCTATAATCTGTAAGCACAGGCTGTGTGCCAGCTGAGTCTTCTGCCATTGAAACATGAAGGTTTCGCCTCTTCAGAAATGGATTGGATAGGTTGTGCATGTGCAATGTTAGTGAAAGAGACACAAAACTCCATCGTGGTGGTAAGAAACATCCTTTAATGGTTAAATTCAAAGTAGTTCAAGAGCATTCAGAGGTTTAGGTGTAAACAGGATAAACAAATGAACTCTGTAGCTTAACACAAAATAATAAAGAGGGCAGTTGTCATTAGAGGCAGTCTCTTCTAACTGGACCCAGTAATGAGTATCATGCTAAAAACCACAGCAGACTAGCTAGTGTAAGCTCTGAATTAAACACTTTAATCCACCACAACATAGCTCTGTTTTGGAAGGCTGCAGGAGAGGACACAGTGGAGGACAGGCCCTTACTTACAGCATTTAAAACAAGTCTTATTTCTGATGCTATGAAAGACACTGTTGAAACACTAGCTGCATGTTTTGAATGCCAGGCATCGGGCGCTTACCGCCGTGCCTTTGCCCCAGTGCATGTAACACAAGTCGTATTCGGCATTTGCACAAGGCAGCTTATTTGATCTACCAGAGTATGATCACATACTGTAAGGTAGGCTTGCTTGCTTAGACTGTACACAGGAATTTACATGCTGCATAGTCAGTTGCTGACATCTAGCAGCATATGAACATGTGAATACTGTCATGTATAACATTCATTCATCAGAATTTGCTTTCATTTTAATGCCTATTCCCAGTGGCAATTTTCCACGTGATGCTTTTGTAGCCCAGAGATGTGTGTCTCATCGTTCGCAAGTAGATGGTAAAACTTGACATGATGTAATTCCTAGCTCTGCATGCATCAAGTGTTAGCATGAATCCAGTCCCTTGTAACAGTGGAATACACAGTATTAGATGATGTGAGAGTAGTTTTTATTGAGGAACTGAGTGTTTATGGCTAGAATGTAATGGACATCTGTTATGCACAACATATAAACAGTGTTTTACACGGTAGAAGAGAAAAACATCTAGACGTCAGTGGGCAGAGACTGCAGCATATCAAACTTCAAGTATGTAAAACAGACATTGTATCATCACTGCAAACCTCTGTCCTTTTTCTCACAAAGTTAATACTACATGTGTTTCCTAGCATATTTTCTTACATGGCTTCAACTCAGTGGCATTTGGTTTCTAGTAATATTAGAATATACTTTTTTACTCTAGTCTATAATGCCCCACAGTGTTAATTGGTATGGATTTCTACTCAGTAATGCAATTTTACCTCTTGAGACTTGAACAGTCATACACATTAGGTGAATACGAACATCAGAATGAGGGAAAAGTAAGGCAGCGTCAAGCTAAACTAAAGCTTGTGTAAAGCTATTTCACTGTGATCTAACAAACTTGCAGGATAATACTAATACGCCAAATAACTTTTGATTTTGATTTCATCAGTGCACGCACCCCAAGCTCGGTTATTCTTCTTTTTTTTTTTTACAGTAGCTGATGACAAAGAAAAAAATCACACTGCAATGTGAAATAGGCTGTGTTCCCTATAGAAGCAGTCAGGCACTGTATTCACACGTGTACCTCTGTCTGATTCTCACCTTAAATAATGGCAAGCTTTTAACTTTAAACAATAACAACTCTGTTGAAAATGATTGCTGTCAGTAATAGGAATGATAAATATATAGCACCATCTTTTGTTGAAAATAAGAAATAGAAAAATACCGAAAATAAAAACAGTGAAACTTGCAAATTCACAAAATAGAAAAGGACCAGATCTATATTTTGTGACTATGTCCATGGATGTTACCACTCTTTTTGTGAAGCAAGCCTATCCAAAAAAGCTTCCTAACCCTTCTATTTTTATACATGCACTTTGGTTAATATACTTCAGGAAACCTTTTTTTTTCTCCTTTCATTTTTACTAATCTTTTGGCAATTACCAAAACAAAAAAGGCAAAAATAAGAAAACACAACAAAATCTAATTATTTCATCATTACAAACAAACACTGAGGCACTTAATCAGCTAAAACAAAGCTCATACAAGTATCTGTTGACAGAGCAACACAAAAACTATGTACATATATGTAAAAAGTGTTATAAATAGGTTTTAAACCATAGATAGTATATACATCTTCTAACTGAGACAGTATTGGTTGTTTTTGTTTTGG